GTATTATCTCTTCGATTTACACACGGCATCTATTGCACGTCTGTCCGTCCTGGGAGAGGGATCCCTCCTCTATCAAAACAACGGCCCGGGGTGCAAAACGCATCAATGAAAGCGACCCTCTACCACACAAAACAACACCTGTAAATAACCCAATTTGTGTTCTTTGAAATTGAAAAGGATATTGCATTGTGTTTGTTAATTCCGTTGCAGTTGTATGTCTTAAGTGTAATTTGGCATGCTTTTATTTTGAAGGCGAGTTTACGCTGTTGACAGTTGTCAATCAATCAATCAATCAATGTTTATTTATATAGCCCAATATCACAAATGTTACATTTGTCTCAGTGGACTTTACAGTTTGTACAAAATATCAGTATGACAATACGACACCCTCTGTCCTTAGACCCTCACATCGTACAAGGAAAAACTTCCGGAGAAAACCCACAGTTTAAAGGGAAAAATGGGAGAAACCTCAGGGAGAGCAACAGAGGAGGGATCCCTCTCCCAGGACGGACAGCCGTGCAATAGATGCCGTGTGTAAATTGAAAAGATAATACATTTGCAACATAGGTAGTCCAAATGTTTGGAAATGCATGTGTGTATAATAGGAAGATAAATCCATGAGGATATCCATCCAGGACCTATGATCCAGGACCACAGCCACGACTCAAGATCCAGGGCTCGCGATCCAGGACAGAGGAGCGCAGGATCATCCATGACTCCGGATCCCGGCGTATATAGACACCAAAAAGAAAGACATGTGGGAAAGCTGGGTTAATCGGAACATGAGAGTACACAGGTATAGACAGAGAGAAGGAAGAAGTAAGATGTCCCCCGACAAACTAAGCCTATATCAGCAAAACTAGGGGCTGAATCTAATCAGCCCTAACTATAAGCTTTATCAAAAAGGAAGGTCTTAAGCGCACTCTTAAAAACGGATAGGGTGTCTGCCGCCCGAACACAAACTGGAAGCTGATTCCACAAATGTGGAGCTTGATAAGAAAAGGCTCTGGTTGTTGTTGCTATGGAAACAAGAAACGTTTCACAGCGGGCAGAACTTGTCATAAAGTCCGCGATAATAAAGCCCACCCATTTAGCGGGAAGATATGATTGGTCAATTGTACTGTCATTTGACATTACTCTCTCGTTCAGTTACTATAGCTGGCCCTCTGTGAGTTCACAGCTGGACGTCCAATCAGCTCCTGTCTTCACCTCCAGAGACGAGCTTCTTTCATTTAACCCTTCACATTCAAACAGAAACTGAATAGGCAGATTCAAAGGATTTATTTCTTTGGAAATGTTATTTTAAATACAATTTAATCAAGTAATTTTTGGTAAAACTAATGACAAATATTACTATAAACATATTAAAAAAATATATATAAAAGAAAAATAGAATTTGTTTTAATGTTTTTAAATATTATTTTGTAGAATATCTTAGGCCCTCGGAGACAGGCTCACCACTGGTAAAAATCTCTCATACACACGTGAAATGCTCTCACAGACACACACAACAGCGTTGCAGTCGGGAAGAAGAGAGAGAGAGAGAGCGAGAGAGCAAGAGAGAGAGCACACCTTTATCTATTTAATAAAGTTGTAAAAAATAAAGTAAGAAATCATTCCAATGTGTACTATAGCAGGGGTTCCCAACCTTTATTGTACCAAGGACCGGCAGATACATTAAAAAAAATGTTTGTCAATTGCCGGTTGTCAATTTTAACTGATTTTAATATTTACTCACCACCAGCAGGCAGCAACAGAGGCTAATTGTAGCCTATGTAACAGCCTGAACAAATACTAGAACAATATGTGTTCTGTTACAGCTAAGTTTACTCTTGTTTGCATTTTCTGGGCTATTCTTTGTGTGCCTATTGTGCCGAGTCGTGGTCCCTTTAAGAATCAGGAGGACATCATCAGATGGGTGTGTCAGGTGATCATTAGAGAGGAAATAGGCAAAGCATGGCTCTGTGAGCAATGTGTTATTGTTTGTTAGAAATCCAGCTACATCTGCATACGTCTTAATGCCTTTGATCGCATCGTATGTAAGTATTGTTTATGTTTGTGTTATTAACAATTACAGATGATTATTTTTAGGAAATATTGTATTCTGTGGTGTTTAATGCTGGAGATCTTCCGAGTTGTCTCAATATTGTACAAGGCTAATGCAATGAGAGTTAAATGTACAAATGGCTGATTATATGTTTAAAATATATATTTATAACTGTTTAAGTTCTAGAATTACAATAAATACATTAAAAAGCTTACAGTAAATATAACAAGGCAATTCAATTAATGTTAAAGCTGTGTTGATACATTGTGCATATTTGTGTATGTAGAAATGATCATAGAATTGATTATATTTTGTCTTGTTTATTTTTAGTTTCACACCTTCCTTATATCATTAAACCTGTGGGCAAAGGATTCACCTCTTCAGAGTCTTGGTGTACGGAGGGAGTTTATCTGGCTGTTAAGATATACACACTACATATACCGGGGACAGCACAATATGCATCCAAAACATATTAATGTTTAAAAAAGAACCGGTGTCGTTTTTTGGTTTTTCAGAAAAACGGAAAACCAAAAAACCGACGTTATTCAGTTTTTAAACCAAAACGGGAAAACAGATAAGGGTTGGGAACCCCTGTACTATAGGACAGTCAAAAGTTTAAAAGAGGAGGGATTAGTAAAATATGCATAAATAAAAAGAAAGAATGCTAACTAGGTAACATAAGATAAGAATACACAAGTTTAAATGATTTGTTGAGATCATATTCTAAAGATGTTTGGATTATTGAAAAGTATACAGCTCCCTTTCATCTGAGTGTTGAGAGCTGTATCCATGAATTCATGTTGGGCTCAAAGTAGGGCTGCTCGATTATGGCAAAAATCATAATCTCGATTATTTGGGTCAATAATTGATATCATGATTATTAAAAACGATTAACCATTTACTTTGAAAACATCAATTTATTGAAGAAAATAATTAGAAAAGTATGTTTTTAACAGTTGATTATTGAACTTTAAGTATAATTCAACTGAAAAACCTATTTTAAAAAAATTAAATCGTTTTATTTCGATTATGTTGTTTTCATAATCGTTGCAAGCCAACATCGTAATTGTGATTAAAATACGATGAATTGAGCAGCCCTAGCTCAAAGTGCTCCAGATTGATGCATTTAACTTCAACATTTAAAAAACATCTTCCTGGGGGTGCATGCCCCCGGACCCCCCTAGAGGATGTGACGTCCACCACCAAATAAAGCAGGTTAAAATAATTAAATTGCATACATGTTATTTGAGTAAACACTGAAAACGGGTCCCACAGACCCAAACAGCACTCAAAGGTTAAAGGTAGCATATAATAATGTTAAAATGTGCTAAATATATACACTAAAAAAAACAAAAAAGAGGAGTAAAAGTAGCTCACGACTTGTTTTATTTTTTGAAAGTAGCCCTCATCCTAAAAAAGGTTGGAGACCCCTGTTATAGAACGATACATTTGACAATTTTAAGCTTGGCCTACCAGAGGGTGTCGTTTTTCTCATACTGATATTCTGAACAATCTGTGCTGTTGTATTTGCTGTACAGTGTCTCTACTGTAGGCTTTTTTTTTATTCGACAAAACCCTTAAAACTTTAGACACTTCTTAATAATTCCCAAGAAGACGAGCTGATAAACCAATCAGATTCCAGTATTGGGGGAGGTAGGATTGTAGGTCGTCTGATTGTAAAGTGACAACTAAATTAACCAGACCAATGGGAGGCGTGTGGCGCAGTGGACTAGTGCGTTGGTGTTCGGATCAGGGGGATCACAGGTTCAAACCCCACTGCAGTCAGGGGGTGTTTCTCAATCGCGAGGATGCTGGCTTGGTAGTCGCGTACTTCAAGTCACTTCCTTCAGAAACGAAGCAAGTATGCTTCCAAGCCACGGCTTCGGAAAACGAAGAAGAATGGAACAGGCTAGCAAGTGTGCCACTCTCTCTAACGGTTTCAACATAAACTGTACCGAAAATAAATACCTCACGATGTCTATCTAATTATGAACTTGCTTTACTTTCACGGGACACATTTTTCGTGATAACAAATGTAACAAAGTCACATATTTAGTCCGTGCGCAAAGCATTGTGGGGATTTTAAGGACGCGAAGTCTACCCATGTGCAGCCTTGAAATTACCCCCAAACCAAGGACGCGGCCTCGGTGGAATTCCAAGTATGCTGGAGATTGGAACAGTACTTCAGCGGCACTCGATGACGTAGCATCCTTGAAATATTGGCTTGGAAGCCAGTATCCTCGAGATTGAGAAACGGCCAGCATGTCGTTGTGTCCCTGAGACACTTCACCCCAAAGTGCTCCTGTGGGGATTGCCCAGTGTTGAGTATGTAGGTCGCTTTGGATAAAAGCGTATAACAAACAACAAAAAACATCGACCAACCAGGATAGCCAGAAAAAGCCATTACGGGCTACGAGCTATTCACCAAAAAAAGGAATATTAGTTATAATACATATTATAATTATCTCTATTAACGTATTGTTCCGTTAGCAACCGAGCTAACTAGCTTCCTTATGTCTGGAAACAATGTTTATGACCCTTCAATGACAATAATGAGACATTTGCTTCTCTTATAGCCTGTTGTTGTGTTACCGCTTTCAAACTGCTCAAACCTGCAGAAAAGACAGATGGATGAACGTCTGTATCTCCGGAGCATTTAACCATTTAAACTGCATTTAAAACATGACATTACTTGTTTACATTTGTGACTGCCTTGTCGTATTGTTCTTGTATTTGTATGGTAATGTTGTATTGTTGTACTGTTCGATGTATCATAGGTCCAATTTATAGTCACTTTGTATATTATATATTCAAAGTTTTAGCTTGTATTGTCAACATGATACTGTCTGTTATGTGTAATTGCACCTTCGGGAATGCTTGGAATGTCGCTGTTGTGACGATAAAGGAATCTAATCTAATTACATTCCCATTTTTGAAGCTGTATTTTACTCACTTTAAGTCGATGAGGATTTCTTTGATCGTCCCTTTCTTCCGACACAGGCAGTTTCCTCCGACGGTCACTTTGTAGTCGATGTTGTGGAAGCTAACGGTGGCGCCGCGCCGCTGCTGGCCCAAACCTGCAGGCTGAAAAACACGTATTATAAACCCAAAATGTGTATATTTTTAATAATATGTGAGGTTATGATCAATGAAGGAAGGGTACCTGGTGTTTGGAGGCTCCATTGGTCCCCATGTCTATCGCCACCCGGCCCTCAGACATCTTCTACCTCTTCCTGCTGAAACACTGAGGATAGCTTATTGTTGTTAACGCTTATACAGGAAACTGACCCGTTTTCAACATAGGTTCAACTTTTCTATGGTTTCAATTATCAATTTATTCCCATTTTTTACAATAAATCAAGTTTTAAACTCCAAATAATGAATGAAACATGGATTTCTGTCCATTTTAAGTTTCAAGAACACGTTTTCAAGCAAGTAAAAGCCTTTAACATCACATTTTGAAGATTAAATTAGTACGTTATATAAAAATAATAATATATTCAAGGTTGTGTCTATTAATAGTCACTAAATTACATAAAACTGACCCATTTTTAACATAGTTTTGCGTTTTAATCTAATATTTGCTATGGTTTCAATGCATTTTATATATATATTCCTTATATACATTTATATATTTCTCAATGTATTTGCATTTTAAAAATTAATCAAGTTTTATCCTTCAAATAATGAGTGTAACATGAATTTATTTTTAGTAAAAAGCAGTTACACATTTATTAATCCAACACATCCACTGTGTGTTAGCTGTTAATATATGCCTTTTATCAAAGTTTAAACTCACATTAATTACTCTTTACAATGTATGTCAGTCCACATCCTTAATAAGGTGGATAAAGACGCTAGTGTTAGATTATAACATGATAATCAGTCATTGACATAATCACAATTATAAATCTTGATCCTAAATAAATGCAGTGTGTGTTGAAAGTAAAAGTAGTAAAGAAGCTTACAAATCAACCAATGCCTTTCAGTCAAAGAACCGCTCCCACGTTCCCCATCTTTAGCCGCAAGCGGGCTAATCTAACCTCACACACATCACACAAGTTACATGTCTTTTCACACACACTTAACGTGGTTACACAGAGCATTAAAAGAGGTTTATTTACCTTCTGAAGCTGAGTAATCCCAGTGAGACCGGCAGCAGCAGCAACTATGAGGAGTGTGTGAGAGAGGAGTGTGTGAGAGGAGTGTGTTGCCCCTTTCACACCAATGCGTGAGAGCAGTGTGTGGTAACCCAGTTTTATGACTGAAGGCTAGATAAGAGAAGTAGGCAGGAGTGCATCTCTCTCTCTCTCTCTCTCTCTCTCTCTCTCTCTCTCTCACACACACACACACATACCATGTATACATCACTTCAGGGGATATTACATTGACTTACATGCATTTCCTGGAGACTTATCCTAACCTTAACCATAACCAACACATGCCTAACCCTTACCCTAACCCTAACCAAGTCTTCACCCTAAAATGAATGATTCCTCCAATTTGTCCCCATAAGGGAGGCGAGTCCCCACACGTGACAATGTAAACAGATTTAGGTCCCCACAAGTATAGTAATGCTAGGCCACACACACACACACACACACACACACACACACACACACACATCCTTGTGCAACTCAATTGTGGGGCCGAACTGATTTTACCCAATTGTGGAGTCCACCCTTTCCAACCATACTAGACCTCCGTAAAAAATCAGGCAATATAGAAAACAAATTAGAATCACAAAAATCACTTGAAATAAACATAATTCCAAGCTTTTGTCATTATGCTAGTTTTTTACCCACTTAGTGGGGCCCAGTTTCTAGCAGTCAGCACTTATGAGGTCCATTATACACACACACACACATATAGTTTTCATATCTTGGAAGGGATCAGACACAGACATATTTCTAGTTTTCATATCTTGGAAGGGATCAGAGTTACTAGAGACATTATTGAGTTGAATGGACTTTCCTTGTTACCAAAGAAACTGCAGAACAGCATCATGAACATTTACATTCTACTTTGATATTTTTTACACCAACAAATTCACATTGCTGGTAAAATAAGTCATTACTTAGGTGATTAGCCTCATCTTAACATAGAATATAACTAGACAGTAGACATGGCAGTAACATTGAAACACCATGGAGACCAAATCAATAATCCCCTAAAGATCCTTTTCGTTCAACATTGTTTTTTCTTAGAGGCAACAAATAGTAATTCTTGAGAAAAAAGTATAATTAATATAAACTCTCTCTACAACATTATTTTAATGCTATAAATATTTATTTGTATATTATTGGGGTGTTTCTATATCGTTAAAACAAAATGTACAACTTGACCAATCCCATGACCCAAAAAACAAAACAAACAGGCCTAACAAATCAGTAGACTTTTACCTCCTTTTGAGTTACATTTAACAAGGACATATTCTGGTCATTTTGAGGTTCAAATTTGTATAAAGTTTCTCTCCTGTGAAATGTTTCCATGCTTCAATGAGGGATTTTAAACTTTGAAAAACATTTACATGCACAAAAAGATATTTTCTACACTACAGGAGAGGGAAAACCCTAAAAGCAAAAAAGCAAATCTTTGAAAACATGGATGATTCTTTCTAGCAGCATAATCGGAATGCAATTGATTTCCCTTTAATTTATATTAGTTGACGATTCAAAGATGAAAATGTGGTTTGGTTTAGGTAAAGCCCCTAGTTTTGGTAGTGGTACTTGAAATCCTTCTTTCAACATTGAACGTATTTTTCCTTGGTTCAATTTTATTTCATTTACATTCGGAGAGAGGAAATTGAAATGTTCATGTAATACTTAACGGCTCCCCAGTCCCTATTTGTTAGGGCTTGAGTTTCGGCAGAGATACAATCCTCACATGCATCTTTCCCTGGAACCTGGTTCTTGATTGTCCATTTCGTAACCCAAGTGTTGTTCCACAGCAGCACTTTCTGCTGACGTCCAGCTGCGTTTCACAAACGTTTGTTTCCCTAGGTGGACAAATAATAACATGTCATAGGTTTAAGAAGTTTAAGAGCCAGTTATTATCATACAGTTAAGAATCTTATAAAACATTTAAAAAGTACCCATATTGCAGATCTGAAAGAATGTTAATGGTGCGACACCTTCTGATCACTTTATTCCATCACAATCAGACACGCCATTTTGTTTGGTACTAAGAGTTTGATTATCAACAAAGTGATTGGTCAATTTATCTGTAAGCTCCCATTCATTGTACAGATACAAACTAGCGTCTGGCATAATTTATAGAATGTATCATAGTTGCAAAATGGTATTCCAGAAGATGTCCGTGTGGCTCATTTACAGTCCTGCTCCAGTGTAGTTTGTGACATCCAAGGCAAATACTTGAAAATGTCTAATTAAATCTATTATGTCTCCTGCTATGTTGCATAGTAAATGAATACACTTAATTTATTACAGACAGAATACTTACTTAAATGTACATAATAATACATGTAAACATTGTAAAATGTAAAAGGTCTTATCTTGGTACATAGTGAAAAGGAAAGAATAAACATATTGTGGAGACGGCTCCATATTACTGAATTACCTCGGTAGTAGCACAGTCACTGTTTGATGCTTATGTAGACATAAAGTTCCAAGGAGAGCGTCTCGTCCTCAACTCCCTCCCTGGATTAGTCTGCCCGTTTGTCACCTGGAACTGAGATACAAAAATAATGCACTAATAAGATAGTAACCATGCATATAATCATTAGTTGCTGAAGTTAGCTAAATGACAAACTATCTGAAACTGGATTTGGATCAAAACAAAGGCATGGCATTATTTAGTCCTGTGGTCTCAATACATTTTACAATATCAAAAAGGGGTTGCAATGGACTGCTTTCAAATTACCCTTTCAAACATGCACAGGCTCAGGAAGTGTAGAATTATACATACAATGACCTACTATTAGATGTGATAAAGGTACTTTAGAAATAATTGTATTCATTTTAGGTCCTAACCAAATGGGAGGGCCCCATAAGGACAAGACTAGAAACAAGTGTGTGTGACAGGTTTCTGTAACTACTCCCATCGAGGCTAACGTAAATGATAACCGTTTTAACCATGCTTATGCTCACAAAGTGTTAACTTACGCCTACAACAACTTGAGTTTAGATTCTAAAAGGTGTTGCACAAATGTTTTTAAATGACTTTAAGTTATAACCAAACGGGAGGGCCTCATAAGGACAAGACTAGAAACCAGTATGTGTGACAGGTTTAAGTAACTACTCCCATCGAGGCTAAGGTAAATGATAACCGTTTTAACAATGCTTATGCTCACAAAGTGTTAACTTACACCTACAACAACTAGAGTTTAGATTCTAAAAGGTGTTGCACAAATGTTTTAAAATTACTTTAAGTTATAACCAAACGGGAGGGCCCCATAAGGACAAGACTAGAAACCAGTGTGTGTGACAGGTTTATGTAACTACTCCCATCGAGGCTAAGGTAAATGATAACCGTTTTAGCCATGCTTATGCTCACAAAGTGTTAACTTACGCCTACAACAACTAGAGTTTAGATTCTAAAAGGTGTTGCACAAATGTTTTAAAATTACTTTAAGTTATAACCAAACGGGAGGGCCCCATAAGGACAAGACTAGAAACCAGTGTGTGTGACAGGTTTAAGTAATAAATCCCATTATAGCTAGTCTAAAAATATGTTCAATTTAGTCTCCTCAGTCAGATCTACACAAATCACTCAATTAGTAAAAGGATTAAAGCTGTATCAGAAAAGAGTTTTTTTTTTAAAAAAGGTCCTCTCTTTAGCCCCGGACAAATTCTCCCTCAATAATATAATACATTAACCTACTTTACCTATAGGATGGACGGCAGGAATGTAATTTCCCATGTTCAGTGAATGCAACACAGAGGCAAGACGACGCCACCAGACCAATCAGAGAGTTGCATGGAAATAAACGTGTTTTATTGGCTGACAGGTACGTACCTCTCCTCTGTGACAATGTTTAAACTTTAAACTGTCAGCCCCGGACGCGGAGATTCTGAAGATGGACATTAGACATTTCTTTAATAAAAAAGACGGCCATTCTCAAGTGGTGGCTCACACAACAACCCCAGAGCCACCACCTGAGCCAGGTGAACAAGGTATGTACCTGTCAGTAAACTTACAAGTTATGCGAACATGTAAGCAAAGCATAAATTATAGCTACGTTGACGTGACTTTGAATCGCGCGGGTAAGCTAAACCGTTAGCAAGTAGCTATAGCTAGCCAGATATATTAAATAAACACTTTGTCATACAATCTAAATGTTGTGTTTTTTAGCGTTACTTGGTGATTTCAAAGAAAGCTCTCTGGGAAATGTTGACTTACTGTCTGTGTTCGACATGAAGCTAGAAGCTACCTTACAGTAGTACACAGTTGATCCTGATTCCTGTCAGTTAAAGTGTTTCATAGTTAGCTTAGCTAAGCATCAACCTAGCACTGAAATATATATGGATGTTATGTGACAGTATTTCTGAGAAAAAGTCAGCTGAAATGGTGGCATAGTTGCCACTGCTTTAGGTGTCGACAGCATGTTTGAACGTATTTGCAGCAGTAAATGTGGCTGTTTGGCCACTGACGTTGCCATAACAACACCTGCATTTAAATGTGCAACCTCTTTTTGTGACAGATTTTGCATGAAAATATAATTTTTCTGATTGATATTTCCTATTGACAGCTAGTTTCTATGTGAACATTATGAGATGGACAGCCAGCTAACAAGCTTTTTATACAAATATAATATATATATATTTTATACAAAGCCAATCCAGTGGGGCTCCTGAAAGGGAGCAAGGGACATATGCTCCCAAATATTAAGCCTTGACCCGCATCTTAAAATTGATATGATCAAAAAATGATCTGCATTGTCGGAGGCCTTTTTTCCTCATTATCATGTCAAATTGTACAGCTTTCCTTAGTGTTGAAAGCAGAAAGATGACTATATTAGAGTATTAAGTGAAAATGACTATATTAAAGTTTCAAGTAAATGTATTAAGTGAATTACTCAAACTGCATTTGTATAGGAATGATTCTGTCCTATTGGCAGATAACTACTCTTAACAGTGATATCTACAAGAGGTTTCCAATGTAACTTTAACTATTTTCAATGGGTTAGTATTACATTTTGTGACAGTGTGGTGACACTCATTTTAATGAAGACAAATGTGTGTATCTTGAAATTCATTTATTTGACAGAGCTGGAAACTGATTGACTTATATACTTGTTTATGTTTACCTACACAGTCATCACAGATGAGCCAAACAGAGTAGAGGATGAAGAAAGGGGAACAGGAGAAAGGGACACACAAGAAGGAGATACAACAGACAAGAACGACAATGGAGACAACAACGAACAGGAACACCAGAACAGACAAGAGTCAATGGGTAACATGACTGATTTAGGGACTGCAGATACAGGGCCAAGGCAAGTGAGACATCACTGCTTTCCATTTGGCCAGCAAAACAGATCATTTCAACCGCAAACAGCAAGAGATGAGGGATTATTATTTCCTCCTTCCATCCCTTTTTTCTGTTTAATCTGATTACTAACAACTTCTAATAATTTGACATAGTTTATGATTTAATTGGAAAATGAAGTGTTTTTAAATAATAAACCCGTTTCTGATTCTTTGATTTCTTTTTGACATATGGGTGTCGAGAGATGTATCCATATCTCTTAATGTTGCTCTCAAAGTGCACAAGATTGATGCTTTTAACTTCAGTATTTAAAAAAAATCTTCCTGGGGGACCCCAGAGGAGGTGAGTTCCCCCCAAAATAGCACTTTATCTCTGCTTATGTAACTCCGGTGTAGTGTCCCCTCGTCAACAGATCACTCAGAGCTGGTGATTACTTTCCTGCATTTCAATGGACAGCATATAAAAAGGACACGTGAGCTGCATTGCTTAAGAGATCCTCTCATGCTATCTCTTTTACAAAATAAGTGTCCAGTCAACAACAAAACATCAGTGATCGTATAGTGGTAGTATATTTTTCACAAGCAATGTGAAACATTAAACTTATACAAACTGGTGTACAAAACTCACATACCTGCGTTGATCTCCTGGAGTGTCTCTACTCTTTCTTCTCCACATCTCTTTCCACCATCAGAGATTGCAAACATTTCAGAAACAGCTAGAGGTAGGGGACAAACAACTTGTTCGCTGGGCATGTCAAAAACCTCCCTGCTTTGATCAAGACTTTAGGGAGCCTTTCAGCCCCTCTAGCAAAGGGACTGGAAAGCAAGCTTTGAAAATTCAGTACCATCTGCATGCTGTCATGTTCCAGACACTGCTCTCAACCACTCAGGGCCTGCACACATACCTGCAGAAAGAAACAATTGACTTGGTGCAGGCAGTGGATTACAAAACAGCAGTTGAGAACACACTGAAAAGTTACCGAAGTAACGAGAAAGCACATGAGGTATATGACAAGACCAAGGCCCTGTGCAATGATCTTGATATTCCCGAAACTGTGACACAGAGGAAGAAGCGAAGAAACATGGAAGACTTTGTAGTCAAGGCATCATGTGGAGCAATGTGAAACATTAAACATAAATAAACTGGTGTACAAAACTCACATACCTGCATTTCAATGGACAGCATAAAAGGACTCGTGAGCTGGGTTCTGGTGCTCAGATTAGATATTGATGATCACGTTGATAAATCATATAAAACAAATAGCCAATCTCACAAAAAACATGTTGCTGTGACTGAGCATTAAACAATTAACATTAAACTAAACAAACACAACAGTACGTTATTGTCCTTATAAAATAAAAACATACATTTTGTCCACCGAGATAATACAGGCACCTTACCCTCAAGAGATCCTCACGTGCTTTGAGAATCTCCCACAATCCATTGCCGTAACAAAGCTAATGCAGGCGCACGTTTGTGACACCAGATGGCGCAATTGTGTATGTGCGTGTGGGGAGTCTTGCAGTAGAAAATTTGACTGTAGCGCCGCCCCTGGGGGCTAAGCCCCAAATGTTTCCAGGTCCAGGCGACGCCACTGGTCTGGGGGCTTCTTAATATTTAAAAACCTATGAATGTCTTATACTCAAATAACGGGAAAAAACTCAGCAACCTAATGATATGAGCCATTTTTACCGAAACAAAACACAAGTCTCACAAGAAGCGTTAGCATTAGCCCTTAGTGAAAACAGGCTGATGCTACTTCCGGTGCTAAATAGCAAAAACGATCTTTAAAACTTAATATGTTCTGCACAAACTACATATCAGCTGAAAGCTGATATTCCACAGATTATTTTTATATAAGTATCATCACTGTAGGACACAAACTCACTGAGCGAGCAGCCAGAACAGAGCAAGAAAACAACAACAGTGTTCTGAAGCATAACAATAATTATGTCTTACCGTTGCTGTTTTGTGATCAAAAGTCGTGTTCAAGGGAATAAAAACGCTGCTCAAGGTTAATCCAATGTCTCTTAGTCACTTTAGAATTGTTCCTGATAATCCATCATTACATTCATGGCCGCATCGTAGGTATAAAGTTTTGCAGTCCGGGTTTAGGTTTTCTCACGTGCTGTTTACGCAAGCCTCTCTCTCCTTGGCGTAAGTGTAAAGCGGGATTTACTAACCCCCCCTCGATTCTATTGGCTCCAAAGTTTCAAAAAAGGTGTCAATCACCCAAATCGACCTATGGGTTCCAGAGATAGGATCCTGCGTAGTATGAATAATGCCAGCAGCGGCTGCTTTACGCACAGACGGAGCAGAAGCAGGCCGCACAACCGCTCCAGCACAGCAGCAACGAAAACACAGCGAACAGAGAACACAGCGAACAGAGAACACAGAACACAGCTAACAGAGACAACAGCAGGAAACCCTGATTATGAACTTCAGGAAAGGTATGTACTCTCTCTGTTTGTATCTATTAGTTGTGTATTTGGTGTAATCTATAGTAATTCCACACTCGCAAAATACAAAATGGACGCTGCTTTGTTGTTGTAGCGTTATTCTTTCACACACAGTGACGTCACGAGCTACCCACAATGCAACACGCGCCATATACATATATATAAATGCGCCATTTTCCTGGAGGTGCTAATATAAACAGCTAGCTAAAGTAGCAAGGCAGAGCGCAGTAGGTTTTTTTTCTGAATTAACGACCGAAGAAATCACTGCATGTCTTCGGATTACATCTCTGGACTTGAGGGGTGTGTTTTAGGTCGTTACCAGCGTAAACTAGAGCTGTGTCGGTTGTTACAGACTGCCTGCAGATGTATGGAAAAACGACAGTGGCCTTCGGCGATTTTGGCAGCATCTACGTCTAATTTCTGGAAACACCAGGTGAATACCCCACTTGTCACAATAATATTATCATGCCATTGCATATATGTGGTATTTTAGAGTTGACTAGATATTGATTAAGGCAATAGACTATGATATTCAGTACAGGAAGCTTAGCAATACCTAGACGGTGTACGGCTGCTTGCACCTCGCGTAAAACGGCACAGACCGGAGGTACGGTGTCGCGCTCGGCCCAATACCCGTATGTGTGTGTGAAAGAATCGTTCCGTGAGAAACTAAAACAATGGCAACATCATGTTGGTGAACGTATAAATAGATTAATTGTATTTCGTGACTATAACACGGCAGTATATAAATAAAGCTGTATTGTATATCAACCCAGTATATATATATATATATATATATATACTGTTATTCCACACACGCCAAATGGATGCTGTTTTGTAGTTCTACAGACATTGACTATTAGCAGATTATAAATAAAGCTGTATTGTATATCAGTCTATATATATATATATATATATATACTATAGCGTGTGTGAAATAACAGTATACATATAT